CCAGCACCATCTCCGTCTCCTCCAGCAGCAGCACCAGCACCAGCAACAGGAGACCGTCCGCCTGCGTGACCAACACGAGCAGATGGTCCGCCAGCAGGCCCACTGGGACCATGAGCGTGGACGCGTCGTCGACGTGATGCTCGATATGCGTCCCGGGCGCAAGTCCGATCCGGGCCAGTTGCGCCCCCTCACCAGCCCCGCCCCCACCCATATGTCATCCCACATCGCCCACATGGAGCCCCCGAACAAGAGACGCCGCTACTCCGATTCCCCGGGACCCCTCCCCCCGGCCTCCAATGGCTTTGAGTGGGAGCGCACCAGCTCGCTTACGCGTCCCGGCGACCGAAGCATCCTCAACCCCGAGGTCGAGTTTGGCCGCCCGGACCTCGCCTCGCGCCGGCCCTCGTCGAGCTCCAGCCACGGCTCCCCCCCGTTCGGCTTTCCCCACCGCCAGCGCGTGATCGAGTCGTCGGTTTTGGAGAGACACGCGGTTGTTGGACAGCTGGACGGCAGGATCCAAAGCCCCCCCTTTCCCCCGCCAGGGAGACGGTCTCCTCCCGGCAGTTTATCCGGGCGGGCCAAGGCGCGGAAATCCGACCCCGACGAGCCTGACGTGATCCCGTATGCAGCGGAGCGGAGAGATTACACTACTGTCATCCATTTGCCAGAGAGAGGGAGGGAGGAATATGTCGTCCAGGACGACAGAAAGCACAAAAGATCTCACTCCCAATCCCATCCCCATGTGCTATCGCGTCCCGTCGAATATAATAGCCCTGTAGCCGGGCCCAGTCGCCGCCCCGAACAGCAGCAACAGCAGCAACAGGATACTCGCCCGCACGGCCCTCCACACCGGCGTCCTCAACCGCCGCCACCGACGCGTCAACCGAAAGAAGAAGATGCGCACGAGTGGTTATTAGAGCATTTTGCCGATCCTGCTCCCGACCCCCATCCAAGGCGCAAAGCCGAGCCAGCAATGTCCCCTTTGCCTGCGCCACCATTGTACAAGAGTCAAAGCCCGGTTCACACAAACACAAAGCAGGCCGCCACTTCACCCTTGGTTCCTGCTACCATGCCGGAGGCTGCCGTAGCTCTTGAGCAAGAGCTTGCTTCCGTCCACGTCCCCGCCACGAGCAAGGAGGAGCCCACGGAGGACGGGATGGACGTTGATATGGCTGTATCGGAACTCGTCAAGGAGACGATAGAGACCAGCAAGGAGGCGCTCGTGGGGATGGAGGTCGACGTCGAGGATGAGTTACTGAGCTTGGTCGATGGTCGTCCTCGGTCGCGGTCCACCACCCGTGCTCCGAGTGTTAGTCGCGCGCTCGCGGGCGGTAGCAGCAAGCCTCCGCTGCGGCTGCAAAGTGGCAATGAACCGGGGTCGCGCCATGGCTCCCCCATGGCATCAGCGTCGTCTCCCTCCTCCTTCATGTCCCCGGGCTTGCGTGCGTCCTCCATGCTTCCTCCGTCCGAACGCGGGTCGATGCCACCTCCGACATCCACCGCCACAGGCCAAGGTAAGAGCAAAGAGTCTGCGTCACGAAAGAAGAAAGACACGGCCGCTAAGGTGCGTATGACGAAATTTGTTGCACTTCAAAACCTAAACTCACATTGTTCACAGCCTGCTCCAAAGCCCAAGGCACCTGCCGCCGCCAAACCGCGCGCAAGGCCAGCGGCCAAACCGAAAGCCAAAGCCTCGGATGCGGCCGCCGGTGCCGGACCTGCTGCAAAGGCTAAAGCACCCTCCGCCATATCCCGGAAGAGTGGCTCGGTGGCAGCGTCCGCGTCCCGCTCTCGTTCCACCTCCGTCATGCCCGGCGGTTCTGTAGGGCCAGACGGATCAGAGAAGCCAGAGGACGAGGACGAGGACGCCGTCGTGGCTGCCGAGGACGACAAGCTGTATTGTGTTTGCAAGACCAAGTACGATGAGGACCGGTTCATGATTGCTTGCGACAAGTGCGTCTCTGCCCCTTTCTTTCTTTCTTCAGTTGTTAATCTCGATGCGCGCTGCAGGTGCGATGAGTGGTATCACACTCAATGCGTCGACATGCCAGATCTAGTCGTTGATCTGGTTGATCAATTTTTTTGCCCGCTTTGTATCGAGAGTGCGTTGCATTGCTTGCCTTTACATGTGCCTTTGCCTTATCGTCATACAGAAAACCCCAACCTCTCGCTCAAGACTACGTACAAACCCCGCTGCCGCTATGGCCTCGATCATCCCGAACCAGACTCGCCCAAAGCATGTCATAAGCCTGCGCAAGGCGCATTTTCAAAGTACTGTTCCCACGAGTGCGGGATGAACAACATGAAGAAGCGTATCGATACCTTTGCGAAGAACGGGGGGAAGAAGGAGTTGCTGTGGGACAGCGTCAAGGATGCACAGCGACGGGAGGCGGTCGTGATAGTCCATGGGGAGGATCTCCTGGCGGACGAGACCACTGACGGCTGCATGAAGGAGAACACCGACGCTGTCCCACTGCCCGTCGTGACTGCGCGCGTGAAGCCGCCGAGCATGGGCAAGGTCGAACGGGAGGTCGCGAGCCTGAACGCGGTGTTGGATGAGATCGTGACGCTGCGGGAGGACCTGAAGGAGGGGATGGACATTGTTCTTTGGCGGGAGAGGCTGCTCGAGCTTGCGAGCGAACGCGCCGAGCAAGTCAGTCAATGCGGGTGGGACCAGCGTCTGTGTTTTGGTGACGACGAGTGGGCAGACTTTGGCGCGGGTGTCTTGGAGAGCTACGAAGACGGCGGAAAGGAGGGTGCTATGCAGGTCGATGGAGCGCCAGATCCCGAGGAGTGGTGGTGTGTCGGGAGCGAGAAATGCGAACGCCACGCTGGGTATGTTTGTCTACTTTCATTGTGGTGCTGTTGCTGATAGACACTCTAGATGGCAGGCGATTCGCGGCCACGACATTGCAAAGGAGAAGGAGAAGAAGGAGGAAGCTCTCTACAGGCTCACTACCAGGGAACGTGAAATCCGTAAACGCATCGAGGACATCGTCGAGCCCTACAACCGCTCCCGCTGTCTCGATCCTGGAGCGGCTCCCCTCAAATCATCCAAGCTCGTCAACGGCAGCGACAAAGGGAAGACGAACGGGGACAGCAAGAAAGGCAAGAAGAGGAAGAACCCGTCCTAATTCCGCTATATTTTTATTCCATTCCGTCTCTTTCCGTGACCATTCTGCATTCTTTTTGTTCGCTATCTTCGTTGAAACCAGCTTTCGAATGTATTGCATATCTTGTTTTGTTGTAGCATTGTCTCCGCCGCCAAAGAATACAATAATAGTGCGCGATCCGTCTAATGATGCCCCGCATTTCTCTCAGCATTACAAACATACAAGTCGTATCTGCGTATCTGAACGCGATACTGCGAGGGGTAATGAATCTGCCTATAGTCGCTCCTCGACCAACTCCTTTGGCCAGGGCATCTCGGGTATTAGTATCTCATCGCCTCGCGCGCGATTAATACCCATCCCCTTCGCCTCCCTCCTTGCAGAATCCCTTCTTCTCGTAGAGGATTTGCGCCTTGGCTTCTTCTCGTTGTTTTTTCATCTCGACGTCGTTCTTGTGGTACGGCTCGAGAGCAGCGTAGTCAACCTGTCTACGCAGGGGTATCTCGTCCTCTAGATCGAGATCCTGTAGGAATCTGAGTGGACGCGGAATACGTAGGGGCCGCTAAACGTGCAATTTCGCCGAGCAACACGACGTTTTCGCCGCGAATTAAGAACAGCCCGTGCCAGTTCTCCGCAAACGCGTTGCCGTGGTAGATCCGTTCCACGGTGTCCTCCAGTACGAGGTTAGCTGGGGCGTGTCGTTCGGTGAGCCGGAAAGAACATAGACGGCGGAATGCCTGTACCGAACTGGTCATAGGACCGCAGGACGCCATGTAGTTTTCTCCCGTCTCGCAAGACCACCAGCATCTTCCCTATTCAAGGGCGGTGGTGGGAATGCTCAGGATCACAGAAGCGCAGTTGACTTTGGTAGACGTACTGTCCACGCAATCCACCAGCGACCCAGACGTTGTGAAAGGTATTAACGAGTCCATGGCCCAACTGGCAAGACGGAGAGTCGACGGATCGGGACATCTTCTTTCGGATGAACTTCCCACGACCGCCTCTTCGCGTCAACTCTCCGACGTCCGTTATTCCTACTACTTACACAGACGCTGCCCCTGCGCCGTAGGTCTCCCAGTCGTGTCGGTTCTGCGATTGATTCAAAAAATCCAACACTTGTTGTGACCCAGCACGATATGGGCATCAACCCAACCCCTATGTATCTCAGCCATAATGCATAATGCCCGGACGCCATCAAAGTTCGTCTACTCTGGCTCCGCTTTAGCAGCACTCACAACCTCTGCTTACCCGTCGCATAACTCGTTGTTTCAGCAACCACGCGAGACTTTTGCAGCGGTTTCAACCTATCCACACCGCCAACACGCTTGAAGGCCTACGCTGGCTGCTCCTCCTGATCTCGTTGTCACTATGGCGCCTAGGCCAGGACATCTCAACGGTCCTGGTATAAGTTAAGAGCACATACTATGCCCATCTGTTGCTGACATTGCAGAACCCTGTGACGCATCCATCTTCCCCCAGCATATAGCCTCCTAAAATCACACTGAGATGCATTCAGTTTAGTGCACCTGAAGTTAACACTGAAACCTGTCTCGGAACACCAAGTATGGTTGTACCACAACTGGAAGCCCCAGCAGTTTCTCGTGGGGGATTTCGGAACTGTCTGGGGATGTTCCCACAATTACTGGAGAAGTTCTAATACTAACCAAAATTGCATCAGAACCAATTCAGAACTCAGCCAGTGGTTCGTGACCCTCCGACTCTTTCTCGATGCTCACGCTGTCCTCAGCCTTTCATCGCAGTTACTTTCTGCTTTTTTTTTCTGCCTCTGAATGTTGCGGCTCGCAAATGCAGCTGGCTCATCGTCAACGGCGGAATCCATCCAAGTCTGGCAATTTTCGTCTCAGCCACCAGGCTGCGAGACCTTTCCGTGGCACTATGGCCGAGTGGTTAAGGCGACAGATTTGAATGGGTTAACACCAGCCAGGTTTGAACCTTCCCTATCTGTTGGTATTCTACCGCGCAGGTTCGAACCCTGCTGGTGTCGTTTTTGCTTGTTCCGTGCGACAACCTACTGGACAGGACCACCGCGCAGGTTCGAACCCTGCTGGTGTCGTTGTTTTTGCATTTTGCGCCCGACTGGCTTATCCCTGGGCCTCCATCTTATGGTATGCAATGTCCGCCTGCTTCCTGGCTACAGCCCCAATTCACTTTTATGAGAATCCGTGCAGAATTGCGTTCGCAATGCTGAAATTGATCGCGACCTCGAGGCGGATCAAAAAAGCACGCAGAGCGAAACTGGGGCGTCCTTAGTTCATGGTCTCTCGGTACGAAAGGTGCGCCTGCTGCTTGGGTACAATCCTCAACTCAAATTTATGAAGATCCGTGCAGAATTGCGCTCGCGATGCTGAAATTGATCGTGACCTCGAAGCGGAACAAAAAAAAAACGCCACTACTTACGGGGGCCTCGTTGAGCTCCCTCGCTTTGTTCAACAATCCTGAGCACGGAAATCTCTGAGCCCGGAGATCTCTGACTAGTATCCATGATTCCTGTTCAATTGCCCGAGAGACTCGGGTACATATGCCAGCCCGTTCTACGTAAAACATTTCTCGCAGATAACTCGCATCCCGAATTAACCCCCAAACCTCACAGAGCCTGGAGCGCGCGCGCCCTCTATCGCCAACCTTAATCCCTCTTCCGGACACGCGTGGATCCTGCACAGAGATCAGCAAGAACCTCATAGAATAAAATGGTGCCAGCGAACACACTGAGAAGTCTACCAAATGACACACCAAGGGTCTCCGAACCGAGGTATTGTGCATCCACACCTATACAGACGCTATGCCAAACAGAAATAAGAGGCAAGGGGATGTGTAACGCTACCCCGAAGGCACTTGTTTGAATTACTTGGCATTATGCAGAAAGAAAGGACCTAACACCTGGAACACAGAGATGGGGACGCGAACGAGCACGGCGCGATGACGTGAAAGTCCCAGATCACCTTGGGGGAGTCCCGCACTGGCAACGGTAACGGACCGTGCGAACTGTAGACAGGACAGGACAAGGGAAAGTCGAGCTGCCAGCACACCTTCGTGTGCAAATTAGTCTCTTATAAACAGTGAACGATTTGGTGCTCGTACCTCGCATGTTGGATGCCCTAAGGGCCGCGCGCGGAATTGACGGCATTCACATTCAAAAACATTGCAGAAGTCCCGAACGAAAACTTGGGCAGCTATACGCTTCGTTGGATTAATTTGCGGGATCGCCGTCTTATAAGAATGGTGGCTCGTGTACGCGTGTTGTTTATCGGACCGCACCTGTATGTGTCTCCCGCCACAGCTCGCATCGACTGTGCTCTAGTGCCGCCTCTTCATCCCGGGTAAGCAGCGCAGCGCATCTTCCGACGACCAGATTGTGCACTCGCCGCCTGCGGACTGTGCCCAGGACCAGGTGCTTCGCATTTATCGTAACGCTCATCGCTTGTCCTCCCCGGACCAACCCGCAACAGCTTCCTGTCCTTGGAAGAATTCAGGTCATGTGAAATTGGCACCCCAAGTAACCCAGCAAGCGAAGGCTGAGTGATTCGGGCCAGAATGCCTGTTGAACGTCAACGATAAGTGCGCCCAAAAGTCAAGCCTGACGTACATCGTTCTGACACCAGAGAATCAAGATTCCGGAACATGCGCTCCCAGACCACGGGAAACGCAATATACATCGGGTTAAACCATACCGACGGAAGGAAGGAGCCCTGGCTGTCCATGATGCGCATGGCCTCCTCGCGCTTGCCGCTGAATCGAAGTCAGTATTGAGCAAAAAAAATGACCCAAGTTCTACCAAGGACGGTGCGGCAATTCTCTTGAGGCACTTCATAACGTTCTATCACTCATATAAACACCTCGTTAAACGAGCGAAGTTCCTATCCACAGACAAGTCAATGGCGCGTCAAATTATAAATTCGGACTTGCAGATGTTGGCTCGTCGACCACCAACTGGAGGCGGGTCAGTTTTTGAACGACCAAATTTAAGAGACATACGACGCTAGGATTGCTGATTATTTGCACGGCAAGGCAAGTTACCGTCGCTTCTCTCCGCCAGAGATCCCCTTGGGTCGTCGCATCGTGCGCAAACGAGGGGGAAGACAAAATGCAGGCGCACGCGCACGCGCCGCGACTTCACAAAAAGCCAAACAAAATACTGGCAACGCACGCGGCGTACAGAGGTTGGTTTCGTGCGACAGATGGTCCATTTCTAGCCAATGAATGGGAGAAGTGGATATGGAACAGCGGCCTCCCGGGACCTCGATGGGCACCCGTGCACAGACTCAGCAACAAGAGGAAACTCAGTAACAGGAGGAAAGCCAATGTGGATGTGTCAGGTGCCAAGAAAAGGACTGAGCCACAGATACACTAGCCCTTCCGCCGCATCATGTGTCCTGGCGATAAACCGCAGTGACGAACGCCGTCCCTCGCATCGTGGGTCGCATGCAGCGTTTGGACACAGGCTCTTGCCCAAGTCAAGGGAAACGGAAAGCAGGTGGAAACGCAGGGCAAGACGTGCGTCTAGAGCTCACTTGTGGGTCCGACACCGTGTATTCTTCTCGTCTCTGCCTCCAGTTCTAGGCGGGCCAATGCCTCGAGGCTATCGACGTTGAAGCGAAGACGAGGTTTGCGGCCCAGAAAATCCCGAAACGGCGCGTGGACGTGGATTGATACAACTGGCGCCGGCGTGTACCTAGCAAGGTCGCTCTGAGACTAGTAGGGACTTATCTCGTTAGCCTTTCGTAAAAAGCACAGACGGAAAGAGGCGTTTCCAGTTGAGGGACGCGCACAGGCGGGCTCTTCTACAACGCCTCAACCCGCTCGTGTCTTGCAGGTCATCCTGGATCAATATCGACAGTGAGCGCCGAGAACCCAATCATCGTATTTGGGCGTTCATTTCAAAGCCAGGGTTCAACATCGCTGGGGTTGGACGTTCTAGTTTACATTCCAGGATGATCGAAGCCCAACGTTATGAGATATATTCCCACTGGCCAGGTGCTGGTTTCTCAGCAAGCGGCTCCCAGCTGAGACTGATGTGAATAAAGCGTGAATAACGAGATACGGTGCGACGCACGCCTTCCAGTCCACCATCTGGGCCGCGAGTTTGAGCTCGTCGACTGCAATGAGCAGTGACTCCTCAATGACGCCCTCGTCTAGCCCTTTCTCCGCGGCGGCGATGTCTGCATTCGCGGCCTTGACGATGTCTAGTTTGTTTTGAACGAGGGCTTCTGTTGCCTGGCGGTAGACGGATGTCTGTGGGAGGCGTGCGAGCTGTGCGAGGGTGTTCTGGTATGTGTGGGTGAGGGCGGGGAGCGGGTCTGGGTGTACTCCGAGGCCTGTGAGGCCAGTGGTGGACCTGAGCGCCTGGAAGAGTGGGCGCGTCAAACGAAACATTGTGTGTTTGGCCAATATTTGGCCCACATCCGGCTCTCTTTCCTCAACGATGGCAGCGCTGGCCGTCCACGGCGCACTACCGCTATTCAGGAGGCCTTTGGTTACGCGCCCGCTCCTGGCCCACCCGTTACTCTCGTCGCTGTTCTCCACGCCGTTCTCGACGCCGTTTGCGTTTACCGCCGTCCCCGCCTTCCTCGCAGCATCCCGCACATGGGCCATCCCTTCGCTCCAGTCCCTGCTCGAACTCTTCCCGCCATTCGTTCTTGCCGTGCCCAAGAAAAAGGTCTCGCACTCGCGAAAATCCATGCGCGAGGCAAACAAGGGCCTAAAGGACAAGCAGAGTCCGTCGCGCTTTTTCTCTGCTCGAGTTGACCCTGACGCGCCGCAGACATTGTCAACTGCCCCGGGTGCGGTGCTCCCAAGCTGGCGCACCATCTGTGCAGCCATTGCTTTTCATTCCTCACCAAAATGTGGAAAACAGCGAAATCAGCCGCCAACCCGTAAAAATACTCGTTGTCCCTGGTCGAGTCGGCGCGTCGAGCCCAACGCGGTGTAATGTTGCTACATGCGCTGTACATATTGCGAGAATCTACTTAATCCCATAATTTCGACTGCTCGCACGCTTTCGCTTCCATCGGGAGAACGTAAATCCGCGGTGGTGCTTTAAAGCTGGTCACCGGGCACACCGAGCGCCGACTCCCACAACAGCACCCATGTTGGCCAGAACACTCTTGTCCCGTACACTCATGCGCTCAGCCAGCACCCATGCTCCCGTTGGCGTCGCCGCTATTCTCAAGAAGAATCCCGATGATGTGGTCATCACTTTTGCGCAGCGAACCGCCATTGGTCGCGCGAAGAAGGGCCAACTAAAGGACACCACGGTCGACGAACTCCTGCATGCCTTGCTAAAGGTAACTTGGTTGTACGGACGCGTGGATCTCTCGCCAATCTCGTTTAGGCCACTCTGGAGAAGACCAAGCTCGATCCGTCCAAAATTGATGACATTTGCGTTGGTAAGTTCAGCGTTTACTATACTCCTGCAGGTCGTTCCTCAGCCCGGAAACAGGGACGTGTCACCCCCCATCGCCCCTCTACGTTTCCAGAGCGGCGGCGTTAGCGGCCGGTATCCCGAACTATGTGCCGATCTCGACTGTGAACCGTCTATGCTCCTCTGGCTTAATGGCAATCCGCAGTATTGCACACGCCATTCAGTCTGGTGAGGTGTCTCTTGGTCTTGCTATTGGCGTCGATAGTATGAGCAAACAGTCTGTCTTGATCTTTGCAGCTACGTTTACGTGTTAACTCTTTCCACCAGTGCCCGCCCCACGCCCGAAGTATGTGAAGCAGTGGCCAAGAACGCAGAAGCGCATGACTGTATCCAGGTATCGAGGTCCCGTTGGCGCATTTGAGACGGCATTGAAAATATCTACAGCCAATGGGATGGACATCTGAGATGGTAGCGCAAACCTACAACATCTCACGCGAAACGCAGGACAAATATGCCCTCATCTCGCACACACGCGCGAGTGAAGTACGCCTGCAATCTCGCAGGATCTATTGGGGCTGACCTGCGGTTCAGGCCCAAGCCAACGGAATTTTCGCCGACGAAATCAT